TTCAGTTAAGACAGGGTTTCACCATGTTGGCACTCAATTCTCATTATTCTGAGGGCAAGCATTTGAAAAAGACAGATAAGAATCAGTGATCATGAAATGAAGAATCTTACAAAGCCTGAGAACAATCAGTTCTACCAAAACTACAAATTAACGCTGTATCATCACAATAATTCATCTACAACTTTCAGAAATTAAAGTTAATATTTGGAAGGCACAAGGCTGGTAAGTGTCAGTGTCACTGGTCCGGATTTCAAGTCGGTCAGTCCCTCCCCAACACTGCCTAGGAAGTTATTAAAACGACCGGAAAAGAATTCCATAATCCGTTTCTTAACTTGCAAAGAAACAAAGCTATCTTTCCAATTCAAACAAAACGTTAACACCGCTGGCCAGATATAAAGAAAAACAACGGGCCGGGCGCGGTGGCTCACGCCTGTAATCCCAACACTTTGGGAGGCCGAGGTGGCAGGATCACCTGAAGCCAGGAGTTCGAGACCAGCCTGGCCAACATAGGGAGACCGCGTTTCCACAAAAACAAAGAATAAAACAAAACAACGATAAATAAACTTAACAGCTTTAAAGAGAAGCCAGGACCACAGAAGGTTCACGACTCATCTGCGCCAAGAAGCGGCACCTGAGACGCCGAGGGCGGGGAGGGTGGGGTCCGAGCGCCAGCGCTGACCGCCTGGGTGGAGGCCGACCTGGGCCCCCGGCCTCGCCCGCCCTACCGCGTCCGGGCACCGGCGCTCGGCTCCCACCCGGGCGTCTGAGCCTGCGGACACCCGCGGCCGCCGGGGGACAGCGCGTCAGGTCTCACCTCCGTCGCGGCTCTCGCACTGGCTCGCCGCCTCCAGACCCTGCCCCTTCGCGCCCCCGGCCTCACTCAGCGCCGACTGCTGTGACGCCCTAGTCCCGGGACCCCGCACGGGCCCCGCACCCCTGAACCCCTGAACCCGAGACGGGCGTCGCTCTCTCCCGCGTCCCCTCGATTTCCCCGCAACCCGCACCTTCTCCTCATGGCAGACGCTCCAAGCAGCCGTCAGTCCAGGTCTAGACCTACTCAACACGGCCACGAGAGCAACAACCACCCGCAAACACCGGCGATCTCACTCCGGGTAGCCGCTCCGTGAGCCGTTGAGCCCCGCAAAATTTCAAACCGCGCCACGGGGCGAAGTCTCGCTGCGATTGGCGTCGCGTCCCGTCGCTCCACGAAAATCCCCGCCCCTTGGGTTGCAGCTCGCGGGTGCGCAGTCGGGGCGGGGACCCGTGAGCCGGACCCGGGAAGCGCTGGAGCGGGGCGGGGGATGACGTCACTGTCTGTGAGTGGGCGGGCGTGGCCTGCACCTCCCACTTCCCTCGATTGGCTGCAGCCTCAAGGGACTCCCCTCCCGAGTCGGCTACGTCATCGGAGCACCGCCCCGCCCCGCCCCGCCCCGCCCGGCGCAGTTTGTATTCGAAGTGCGCGGGCGGGGAAGGAGTTGAGAGCACCGCGGCTTCCCGGCTTCCCTGAGTCCCGGCTGCCGGGACCGGGAGCGGGGAGGAATAGGAAAGTTAGAGCCTAGTTTCCCTTGCTCATCCAAGAAGCGAACCTTGGAACCGATCTTTGGTGGGACTTCTCCCCAGATGTAGGAAGCCGTACACTAAGGGGAAGGGAAGGAACATTGAGCCTTGCTCATGGGCCTGGAACCTTTCAACGCTAGTTATCCCATTTAACCTCCACAATCCTGTATGGCAAGTATTGTCACCATTGCAGAGGAAACTCAAAAAGATTTGAATGATTTGCCCAACTCACCTGATTGGTGAATAAATGCAGATCACCTAGGTGTGGTTTTCTTTCAAATTAGTTTCTAAATTGTTACATGAAAAATTTAAAACTCAAAATAAACATCAAAGTACTTTTGTAGCCTCCTTTCCTCGATGAACATGTTACATCCCTAAATGCTTATATATCACATTTTTTTTTCCCAGTGATTCATGGTGGCATAATATCCTGGTGTGTAGCTATCTCGCCCATTCTGCTATTGATATTTAGATAATTTAAAATGTAAGGCTGGACTGAATATCTTCATACATAAATCTTTGCATCCTGCATTTTCGTATGGCTGATTCCTAGAGGTGTAATTACTGAATGCTCCCTTTATTAATTTGCCTTCTGCACAAAGCCTCACCGGAAAAGTACCCTCCTTTTGTTACCCTCAGCAGGGCTGAATTCTATCATACTTTTAAACATCTTTGCTCATTTTGTAGGTAAAATAATAATACTGGCATTTCCTTGTTTGGCACTTGATTATAACTGAAATTGCACATTTTTCGTGTTTACTGGCCAACTGTAACTTACGTTCATATGCCTTTTCCCTAAAGGTAAAGGATGCTTGTTTGCTTCACCTTCAGAACCGTATTTTTCTTATTTTCAGAAAAACTTCATTGCTGCTTTCAATGTTCTTCTTTTTATTTTTTTTTAATTGCGACGGAGTCTTGCTCTGTCACCCAGGCTGAAGTGCAGTGGCCCAATCTTGGCTCACTGCACGTCCGCCACCCGGTTCTTGTGCCTCAGCTTCCCAAGTAGCTGGGACTACAGGCACGCACCACCATGCCTGGATAATTTTTTTGTATTTTCAGTAGAGATGGGGTTTTGCCATGTTGGCCAGGCTGGTCTTGAACTCCTGACCTCAGGTGATCCGCCGGCCTCGGCCTCCCAGTGCTGGGATTACAGGCGTGAGCCACCGCGCCTGGCTTCAATGTTCTTTTTAACCTATCAGCAGCATGCCAGATATTCACAGCACAAACTCAGTGGAGGACAGGCACCACTTTTTCAATTTCCTTGCACTCTGTTGATTAACATTGACACCACTAATAGAGTGGATGGCAGCACCACTTTTAAAATTTACTTGCATTCTTTGTTGGTTAAATTAACAGGAGAGCTTTTCAGAAAGCTTCACAAATTTGTGATCTTCATACATGTTCTTAGGGCCAGCATTATTAAGTATCCAGAGATAAGACAATTTTTCTCTCGTCCTTTACAATGAGGTGCTGAGGCTAACAAAGTCACAGAACTGACGCAAAGATATCCATTCAGAGCATAAACGCTGCATGTAAAACACTGTGTAATACGTGTTTATAATATATGACCTTAGCCTGGGCAGTGTGGCAAAACCCTGTCTCTATAAAAAATACAAAAATTAGCCAGGTGTGGTAGTATGAGCCTCTAGTCCCAGCTACTTGGGAGGCTGAGGTGGGAGGATCACTTGAGCCCAGGAGGTCAAGGCTGCAGTGAGGCATGATCATGCCACTGTACTCCAACCTGGATGACAAAGCAAGACCCTTTCTCAAAAAACAAACAAACAAAAAAAACCCCTATTACAGGGTCATATGTTTCTACTTGATGGAAGGGCAATGTTTTGCCACTGTTTAATCTTTTTCTGATGCCACCTATTCTTTCTGCGAACAACAGCCCTGTTGGCAGTGTCTTTGGTCTTGCACACTAGCTTGAAATAACACTCAAAATTCTAGCTAGATGCTTGAGGAATGCCTTTTCCTTGGAATGTATTCTTATACAGAATTATCATTATTTTTATTTACTTATTTATTTATTGAGACAGAGTCTTGCTCTTTTGCCCAGGCTGGAGTCCAGTGGCACGATCTCGGCTCACTGCAACCTCTGCCTCCTGGGTTCAAGTGATTCTCCCACCTCAGCCTCCCGAGTAGCTGGGACTACAGGTGCGCACCTCCACAGCCGGCTAATTTTTATATTTTAGTAGAGACAGAGTTTCACCATGTTGGCCAGGCTGGTCTTGAACTCCTGACCTCAAGTGATCTGCCTGCCTCGGCCTCCCAAAGTGCTAGGATTACAGGTGTGAGCCACTGCGCTGGGCCCAGAATGATCCTTATTCTATAGGAAGAATACTTTTGATGATCCAGTAACTCAGGTTTTGATTTTCTTTCTTCCTCTTAGTAAGTGGCAGCACTGTGGAATGGGGAACAGATGGGAGGATGAGCAGCTGGGAGGGACACTCTTACAAAAACCCAGGCAAGAGACAATAAAGACCTCTATCATAGGGATGGTGAGGAGAAGATGAACTAGAGGCATTTAGAAATAAGAACCAATAGGACAAGGGAACCAGCTGAAGGTGGGGCATAGAAAGAAAAAATCTGAGGTCAAGAATACAACTTTTTGCTCATTTGAACAAAGTTTGGGAATACAGGAAGAAGAGCAGATTAAAGGATTCAAGTAGGGACAAGAGCTTCCACTCATGAGTTTATTTTGTACATGCTGAGTTTGAAGTGCCTGTGGAATGACCAGGTAGGACATACTTGTGTGGAGTGAGATGAAAGCTTGAGATCTGGAAGTGGATACAACAAAGGACAGAGAGAGGGAAGATGTCAGCAAATGGGATCAAAGAACAACCTAAGAGATTGTGGGAGGACAAAGAAAGGGTATTATGGAAGCTGAATATGACAATTTCAAGGAAAGTGTAGTCATCAGTGGGATCAAGTTGGAAGAGGCCTGAAAAGTGGCCACTAACACAGGTGGTTGTAATTCCTTCTTTTTTCTTTTCTTTTTTGAGAGAGGGTCACAGTTTACTGCAGCCTCAACCTCCTGGGCTCAAGGGATCCTCCCACCTCAGCCTCCCCAGTAGCTAGGAATACAGGCGTGTGCCACCACCCTCAGCTAATTTTTTTATTTTTTGTAGAGATGGGGTCTTGCCATGTTATCCAAGCTGGTCTCAAACTCTGGGGTTCAAGCTTTCCTCTTGCCTTGGCCTCCAAAAGTACAGTGATTACAGGCATGAGCCACAGCACCTGGCCTATATTTCATCATTTTTGAAAGGTAAAGAGAGAAGGAGAAAGGCTACTAGCATCAGCAATGAGGAGGGTGCTGGTACATTTATAGGAGCACTGTTTGCTGATGCCTGAAATGGCTCTAATGGCACACAATCTTTCATTCTGCAGTAAGAAACAAAACGCTTAAAATTGAAGTGCCTCCTTAAGTTAAAACAACAAAGTCATTTTCTCAAAAATGTAATGAATCACAACATTTTAGAATTGGAAACGTGCTTGCTGGTCACCTCATCCATCCCCCTCATTTTATGGTTGAGGAAACTCAGGTACAGAATGGTCGAGTGACTTTTACAGGGAAGAACCAGATCAGGCCACTATAAAGTCCAGGCCAAGAAGCATAGGAAGCCCCTGCAGAAAGCTCCAATGGGCTTTCACTAATAAAGATGGAAGTGCGTGTACAGAACAACAAACATATTACATCTGAGAGCAGAGGCTTTATTTACAATGATATTCAAACAGGATTTAGCAAAGGATACCTCTTCCTGCTTGTATCTTAGCAGCATGGGTTGTACTTCATAAACAGAAAAGAGAAATATCCTGGGAGCAGGAAGTGAACTCTCTTCTCAGATATGTTCTCTAAATCCCAACCCATTCCATGCTCCCAGCTCGTAGCAGGTAGTTGGTAGACACTTGGTTATAACAGCTGGATGCCAGATGCCTGCCTCCCACTGAGGAATGTGTTCAGGGAAGATGTCAACACTGGCCGGGAAAAACATCAGGCTTTCACCTCACTCATAGCCTCCATAAGACGAGCACTGTTTGTGACTGCTGTTGTCAGGAAAATGAACCTGTAGCCTAAGGAGTCAAATGCAGCAGCAGAAGAGACAGCGCAGATCTTAGGCCCCAACGATAACCATAGAGCCCCTCCATTTCCACAGTCCCCATGGGATCAGAGCACCAGTTTATAGACAGAGACGTTGAGTGCCATACCCTTGGGCACCACTGCTTTCTGCGCCTGGTATAACTGGGCTCCCTGCTATAGCAGCCCACAGTAAGGCTATGGCAAGTTGTACTCCGAGGCCAGGAGAAAACTATTCCTATGTAGGACACTTTGCGTGGGTTTTGTTTTTTTTTTTTCTTTTTTCTTGAGACGGAGTTTTGCTCTTGTTGTCCAGGCTGGAGTGCAATGGCGCCATCTCGGCTTATTGTAACCTCCACCTCCCAGGTTCAAGCAATTCTCCTACCTCAGCCTCCTGAGTAGCTAGGATTACAGGCACCCACCACCATGCCTCGCTAATTTTTGTATTTTTAATAGAGATGGGGTTTCACCATGTTAGTCAGGCTAGTCTCGAACTCCTAACCTCAGGTGATCTGCCTGCCTCGGCCTCCCAGAGTGTTGAGATTACAGGCATGAGCCACTGCGCCCAGCCAACACTTTGTTGCCCATATACAATGCAGCAATTCTCACCTTTCTGCTCTCTCTTACCTTTCTCTCTGCCCAGGAACCGGAGGGCTGAGATCTCAGAGAATGTGCAACCACCCAAGAACACCACTAAGATGAGGCGCAGGGACTCACTGGAAGCCTTGTCTTCCTTAGTCATGTCTGTGAGGATCAGGCCAGATTCAGCTCTTCCCTGACATGCTAGTCCTGAGTGGTGCATCCAGCCCACCTCTCACTGCCAGCCTACCCCACTGTTGATGCCACATACCTGTAAATGCAAAGTCACTGCAGTTGAGCAGCCGTACCACCTCATCAAGGCCCTGCCAGCTTCGCCGCTCTAGCACCTGGGAAGGTATAAGCACTGTTTTTAAGGCTACAGACAATATCAGGCTTAGGAAAGGAAGGGCACAGCAGCCAGACTGTCACATTTCTTGCTCATTACTCAAGTAGCAAAAAGTTGAGACAGGGCCAGGTGTGGTGGCTCATGCCTGTAATCCCAACACTTTAGGAGTTTGAGGCGGGGCGATCACCTGAGGTCAGGAGTCCGAGACCAGCCTGGCCAACATATAGTTGGCCTCGTCTATATGAAACCCCATCTCTACTAAAAATACAAAAATTAGCTGGGTGCAGTGGCACATGCCTGTAGTCCCAGCTACTTGGGAAGCTGAGGCAGGAGAATCACTTACATCCAGGAGGCCGAGGCTGCAGTGAGCTGAGATCGCCCCACTGCACTCCAGCCTGGGTGACAGAGCGAGACTCCATCTCTCAAACAAAAAAAAAAAAGTCAAGACAAGTTAGGGACCAAGAGAAAGCAGAGAGAATGAAATATGAATGGGAGCAAGAGTAATATGCTCTTACCTGCTCAATGATTCGGCAGCTCAAGGGCACATAAGCACCACTGAAGACGTAAGCCATGTCTCGCGGCACTTTCAGATCATACTCGCCGTCCACACGTGGGATCTATAAGACAAAGGGACTTGGCCGGGCGCGGTGGCTCACGCCTGTAATCCCAGCACTTTGGGAGGCCGAGGGGGGTGGATCACAAGGTCAGGAGATCGAGACCATCCTGGCTACCATGGTGAAACCCCGTCTCTACTAAAAATGCAAAAAATTAGCCGGGCGTGGCTGCGGGCGCCTCTAGTCCCAACTACTTGTGAGGCTGAGGCAGGAGAATGGCGTGAACCCGGGAGGCGAAGCTCGCAGTGAGCCGAGATGGCGCCACCGCACTCCAGCCTGGGCAACTGAGGGAGACTCCATCTCAAAAAAAAAAAAAAGACAAAGGGACTTAATTAGGCAAGTGACAGCTCAGCTCCCTAACCCTTTAAAGGGTCAGATAAAGTGGCACAGCCCAAAGAACAATTCTTATTTCAACAAAAGGGAGAACCAGCAATAGCCCTGAAAAGAGAATCCGTAACAGAAGATAGCAGTTTCTGTTCAGTAACTGCCAGTTCTCTGGAATGAGTTCCCATGCACCATTATTGGATAATGTGAAGGGGCTGGAGAGACAGGTTCTCCTTTCCCTGTCCTTAAGAGACATGGGATATGGTTGTCACTGAAGCAGCACTTAGAATATTCTCTGGCATTGGCAGGTGCTTGTTACATGTTGATTAAATGAATGAATCTACCATGCTATAAGACTACCAAACAAAAGAATCTTTATACACGTGAAATGACAAAAAGGTTTTTGTGGATTCAAAGTACTCCACAATGGGCCAGGCGCAGTGGCTCACGCCTGTAATCCTAGCACTTTGGGAGGCTGAGGTGGGTGGATCACCTGAGGTCAGAAGTTCGAGACCAGAACTTCTGAGGTCAGAAGTTGGCCATCATGGTGAAACCCTGTCTCTACTAAAAATACAAAAATTAGCCGGGTGTGGTGGCACATGCCTGTAATCCCTCGGGAGGCTGAGGCAGGAGAATCACTTGAACCTGGGAGGCAGAGGTTGCAGTGAGCTGAGATTGTGCCACCTCACTCCAGCCTGGGCAACAGAGCAAGACTCCATCTCAAAAAAAAAAAAAAAAAAAGTACCCCACAATGGAATGAACCCACCGTCTCCCCTAACCATCCCTGTTCCACATACCAAATTCAGCTTTTTGCTGATGGCACGAAAATTGCTCCTCTTGGCCAGAGAACTGAAAGCATCAGTAATCTTTCCTGGGGAAGAAATCTGTGTCAGGTTTCACCTAAGGTCTATGGATTCATGACACTGCCACGGACAACACCATTCAGGACACGACAGCACCAATCACATCCAAAAACTCTCGGAAGCTGTTCAACTACAATTCCCTGGAACTCCCACCCTTCTCCCCACCCACAGTCTTCCCCCTCCTACAGGGTACCAGGTCTCTACTAAATGCAATCCACAGGGTAACCCAAGTTTATTGGTATGTGCTTTGGAGTTAAACTGACCTAACTTACTAACTAAGGGACCTGGGACAAATCACTTAATTCTCTAAGCCTCAGTTTCATCATCCATAAAATGAGGATGAGAAAATTTACCTCACAGTCTTTGTGAGGATTCAATGAGAAACTAAAGGGCTCAGCACATGGTAAGTGTTCACTATGTGGAAACCACTCTTACTGGCAGACGTAGTAGTAATAATAGTAATGACATTAATAGGAAGGAATCAGTCCACCTTCTCCAATTCATTCTGTCCCTCCCAGCGTGCTGCCTGTTGAGAGAAGTCAGGACAACAGCTGGAGTAGGGGTCACCTGTGCTCCCTGCTTACCTGCAGCCTTGTCGGTCACCAGCTTGCTCACTTTACTCTCCACGGCTGTGAGGGTGTCCCCAGGGGCCTGCTCTGTTAGGAGCCCAGCTCGTCTCAGATTGGAGAAGGTTAGCAGGTGTTCAGGGCCATAGCTCTGAAGAAGATGCAATTAGACTATTTACTGAGTGTCTGAAGAGCATCTAGCACTGTCAGGCACTACAGAGGTGAGAGAGAGAAGGACTATGTAGCCTCTGCTGCAGTGTGAAGGAGCTCACACTTTGTTGAGATAAATTTTCACATTAGAAATAACCAAACAGGGCTGGGAGCGGTGGCTCATGCCTGTAATCCCAGCACTTTGGGAGGCCAGGGCAGGCAGATCACTTGAGGTCAGGAGTTTGAGACCAGCCTGGCCAACATGGTGAAACCCTGTCTCTACTAAAAGCACACGTGCCTGTAGTCTCAGCTCCTCAGGATGCTGAGGCAGAGAACTGCTTGAATCTGGCAGGCAAAGGTTGCAGTGAGCCGAGATTGCGCCACTGCACTCCAGCTTGGGCGACAGAGCGAGACATCGTCTCAAAAAAAAAAAAAAGAAATAATTAAACACCAAACGAAGAAGAATAAAAAGCAGCATGAGATTTTAGAGACCTATGGATGTATGGGAAAGGCTTCCTGGATGAAGTAAGACTTGAGAAGTACCAGGAAGGAAAGCTGAATCAGTGCCTCACACGGTGCTAAAATGAGAGAGACTCCCAGGAGTAAGAACTCACCTCTGGGGCCAGCGCTGAAATGTTTAAATTAAATTCTCAGCACTGGCCATGCGCCGTCAGTGTATGGGGTGAAACAAGGGTAGAGGGCAGAGAGGCGTGGTGAAAGGTGACTCTCCCTAGTAGCTCTAAGAGGGAGGCCTGAATGGAAACAGGAGGGTAATGGAGGCAGGAAAGGGGCCACTTCTTTTGCCTCTTTCAAAAATGCCCAGTAACTGCCCTCCACCAAGTTCCCTCAAGAATACATTCTCCAGGCCTTACCTGCAGATACTGTGTTTTCAGAGATCGGTAATCCTTGGGGATCAAACCTAAGAGTGAAGAAAATAAGACAGGTGCATGAGAAAGAGGCCGGCAGAGGCACCCTAAAATGTACAGATCAACCAGCAACGAATGCCTTCTTCAGGAGGAAGGATTCAGTAAATGTTAACCCTGCAGAGTATACAGTTGGTTCAAATTAATGACATTAATAGGAAGGAATCAGTCCACCTTCTCCAATTCATTCTGTCCCTCCCAGCACTGCACTCCAGCCTGGGTGACAGAGCGAGACTCCATCTCTCAAACAAAAAAAAAAAAGTCAAGACAAGTTAGGGACCAAGAGAAAGCAGAGAGTTATTTATTTAATTATTTGAGATGGAGTCTTGCTTTGTCACCCAGGCTGGAGCACGATCTTGGCTCACTGCAACCTCCACCTCCTGGGTTCAAGCCATTCTCCTGCCTCAGCCTCCTGAGTAGCTGGGATTACAGGCATGCACCACCACGCCTGGCTAATTTTTGTATTTTTAGTAGAGACAGGGTTTCACCATGTTGGTCAGGCTGGTCTCCAACTCCTGATCTTGAGATCCACCTGCCTTGGCCTCCCAAAGTGCTGGGATTACAGGAATAAGCCACTGCACTGGCAGACTCATGCATTTCTTCCTGGCTAAGGGGCAGTTCTACTAGGAACTGTTTCACAACTATTGAGAAATAGGAAAAGTGTTCAAATGAGTTCCAAAAGCATGGTCTTATATGTTTTTCTCCATCGAGGTAAGAATAACTGGGATTCTAACTATAGTAAATGAGATTTAGAATAAGCAAAATACTTCTCTGGGTAAAAAGCAACCTTCGGCCAGGCACAGTAGCTCACTCCTGTAATCCCAGAACTTAGGGAAGCTGAGGCAGGTGGATCACCTGAGGTCAGGAGTTCCAGACCAGCCTGGCCAACATAACAAAACCCCATCTCTATTAAAAATATAAAAATTAGCCTGGTGTGATGGCGTGCACCTGTAGTCCCAGCTACTCGAGAGGCTGAGGTGAGAAATCGCTTGAACCCGGGAGGCGGAGGTTGCAGTGAGCTGAGATCATGCCACTGCACTCTAGCCTGGGCAACAGAGCAAGACTCTGTCTTAAAAAAAAAAAAAGGAAGAAAAAGAAAAAGAAGGCAACCTTCAAGAATATTCACCAACTGGAAGACTTCAACAGTGAAAAAAAGTTGCCACGAAGGTGACAGAATCTGGGATTTTAGAAATGTTCATGAAAACTAGCTGGGCATGGTGGTGCACACCTGTAGTCCCAGCTACTCAGGAGGCTGAGGCAGGAGAATCACTTGAACCCACGAGGTGGGGGTTGTGGTGAGCCGAGATCGCACCACTGCACTCCAGCCTGGGTGACAGAGCGAGACTCTGTCTCAAAAAAAAAAAAATAAATTAAATAAATGTTCATGAAATTAACTTGCTGTCCCTTTTTCCTGGAATGTATCTTTATCTTATTGAAAATAAGGACAGATGGAGTGATGAGAGAAACGCCACTCAGCTCTACACCCCTGCAGTCCTAAGATATGACAGGGCTCTAGGGTGGCCTGGATGTGGTCCCACTTAGGGCTAAAACAATAAATTACCCTGTGTCCTGGTGATAATTCACCCCAAACAAAAAAGAACCCATGAAATTACAGGAAAACATTCTGTTTGCTAAGACATTTGCCTTAGCCTTTCAAAATCACTTCTTCTGTCCCTAAGACATAGTTTCTCAATCTGACATTCTCATCTTTAGTCTTTTGGGCTCACCATTCTCCGTGATGGACAAAAGGCACATGAGGCGCAGGCTTTCTATAGGCGACACCTGCATAGGAAGAAAGACTCAAGGAGGACTGAAGCTTCACAACACATGTTCTTTTCCTTCTGCTTAAGGCTGATCCCACCTCTAAACGCCATTCTTGGCCCCCACAGCCCTCCACCTGTGCACCTGCCGGTCTATGTGTTCCTCGATGTAGCTGGTGCTCTCCCGGATGTTGAACCCCTCTAGCAGTGCTGTGAGAAATCAGAGGAGAGCCTGTTACTAGGGGACCAGCTCAGCTGTTGCCATCTATGCTAACAGGTGTCTGTCTCCCCGTCTCTTTCTCCATCCTTGGGGTGGGTTAAGGGACCCCCAGGACTTCTAGCAGGAACCAGCATTCCACATAGCCAGTGTCAGCTGGAAAGAGCCAGAGAACATCTTTTAAGGGTGGGACGGGGCTGGGAGCTGGGGAAGTAGAAGTGTGGGCAGTAGCACAGCAAGGCTGTGGCAGTTACCATGCTCAGTCTTGATTAGCTCCTGGAAATCCTGCTTGGTTTTCTTCTTCATGATGGATTCACAGGCCCCAATATCTGCAAGTTGGATAAAGGGAGCTGACATATTCCTGTTTCTAGAAAGATGTCCCTTTATTGTCCGGAAGAATAAAAACCTCTTAAGGCAAAATCCAAAAGCACTTCTTCCCACTTTACACCAAATAAGACCATATGCGTCAGATGAACAGGGATCTCCTCCTCGGGGTAATGGTACTCTGGAGCCTTCCCCGGAGGGATACAGTCACTTCCCCTCACGCCCCTCAAGCTGAAACCTACGGAGACTCAGCAGGCGGTGCTCCTGTTTCAGGCCCTTGAGCTCCTGGGACACGAAATTCTTCATCTGCTTAATGTCCATGCCTCTCCGGCGCTGTGGGAAAATTCCCAAAGGTTAACCCCCCAACCTCAGACATGAGAAACCACCACCCTCCCTCAGTTGTCATCTATCCATGAGAAAGGACAGGGAACCTGTCATAATATTAGAAGGAGAGTCCAAGGGCAGCAGCCTTGGGAAGCCACTGAGGGAACAAAACAGAGGACCAGGGCTTGGAGCCTCACATCGTACTGGGCCTGCAAGTTCCGGGCCTTCTGGCTCAAGAAGCCAAAGACATTGGAGAAGTGCTCATTCCGAATCTCATTAAACACCTGTGAGGGGAGTAAGACAGGAACAACTTACTCTATCAGAACCATCACTTAGCAGTAGAATGACAGTACGGGAAGGGTGCTCAGGTGTTCTGGCAGAAATACAAACAAAGCTGAGCTGGGATCCATAAGTCCATATCAAATGCCTACTCCGTGCTCTGAGGTATGCTCTTAACTGGTGGGGAAACCCTCTCTCCCACAGACTCAGCCTCCCCTCGCAGTGCTGGGGCCCACAGCCTAGTATAAGCAGTGGCCCTAGTGGGGGCCATTGCTAGCACCCACACCCTCACCTTGTCCTCGGCATTGAGTAGCACCTTCAGGCTCCTGTCAGAGGATGTGACTTCTGGGCCAAAGTCGACACTCCCTTTGAGAGCAGAGGGACAGTTATTAGGATCTCCAATGAGGACTTCTCCTACCCTTCCCTCAACTGCCATAAAGGTCCTCAAACTATTTGGAAGCCAGCAGTTCATTCAGGGTCTGGGTCTCTCCCACAAGCCCTGCCATGTGGGAGGTGCCAAGGCTGATGACCACATCCATCTTGCCAAGATGCAGAGGACCATGGCACTTACCACACTTGATGCGGAAGGTGTCATCTACTAGGCCCTCGTAAACCACTTGGGAGCAAAGTGCTGTCACAAAGTCCACATCTGAAACAGAGATCCCTGACCGTGAAGGTTCTCCCTGACCCAGCCTTCTACACAGCATGCTCAAGGGCAGCTTTGACACTTTCCATAGGGCCAAGGACCCACGCTCCTCAAAGCTGGGATTCACAGCCCCAACCTTAGGATTTTAACTTTGCCACCACACTTTCCATATTCCCATGTCTTCTAGGGCCGAAAGATGACAGGAGCGCTGGGCATAATTTACCTCTGTCCAAGAGAAAGATATGTCCAATCTCTGGCCTTCGGCCCTTGGTTTCGCCATCCTCCTCCTCCTCCAGGTTCCTCCACAATTCATATGCCATCTGCCAGGGCCCAAAACATTCTCAGTCTTGTGTCCAGGTCCCTACTGCAGCCAACCCCTTCCATGTGATACTTCCTCTTGTCCCCGAGACAGGAGCTAATTATTCACAATATGGCCCTATCTACTCCCATCTGTGTCTATCCTTCCCTGACACTCTTCATACTGGTGAGAAGATGTGTTACTCTGTCCCCAAAATGAAAAGAGATTTAGGAATGCCACCCAGGAGACCCTGGCTTTTGCCTCTCTGTTAGTCACACAAGTTCTCCTCTCTGAGGATCTATTCCAGAACAACGAAAGCAAAGAATACACCTTATATCACAGATACCCTTGGATAACCTCACGTGGGTACACAACAGGGGAAACAGGGTCTGCTGGGACAACAGTACTGCTAGTGCTCTTACCTTGGCGCATCTGCCAATTCCATAGCAGTTTGGAAAGGGTCCATAGAGAGTGCTGAGAAGGTGTAAGGCCTGAGCCACAGTGTTGATCCAACGCTGATCTCCTTCCTGCAGGGACCACACAAGTCACAAAGATATGAATCAACCCAATAGGACCATTTGGAAAGTGGTTAGCCCTAGAACCCCTGGAGCAGGGTGGCAGGGTCTGGGGGATGCTTGAAAGGCTCATTTTCATTGGCTCCACAGGAAGTCCCACAAAGACCAATCTGTAGCACTCAATCACTATATCACTATCACTTTATCATCACGTGATAAATTACTTGAGTTGGACAAAGGTTACATTGGTATTTCTAGCCCTCTGCATCCCACATGTGTCTCCATCCCCTGATGCCAAGACCCAAGGGCCTCTGCATTTACCAGAAAGTAATCCCTGAAAAATTCTGGTAGTTCCATGCTCAGCAGATCCACATCAAGAGGCAGCAAAGAGAAGGCCCATTCATCACAGCTCACATCTGTGGGGACACAGAGCATCAGCCTCCCTGTAGAAGGTACTTAGCTCCACGTTAAGAGGGAAGGTCCGCCACAATCATGCAACAAATATTTGAGTGTCTGCCACACGCCAGTACTGCATTAAGCAATAGAGGCTCAAAGAAGAATAAGACATAGTCCCTGCCCTTAAGGAGCTCACAGTCTGATAAGGAAAGGAGATGCGACCACAGCAGCCTGTAACACAATGTGGTAAGTGATGGGTTTTTACTAGAGGGCTGACCAAAAGTGCCAAGAAAATGTTCATTCATTCATTCATTCATTCATTATTTATTTATTTAGAGACTGAGTTTAGCTCTCATCATCCAGGCTGGAGTGCAATGGTGAGATCTCGGCTCACTGCAACCTCCACCTCCTGGGTTCAAGCGATTCTCCTGCCTCAGCCTCCCAAGTAGCTGGGATTACAGGCATGTGCCACCACGCCCAGCTAATTTTTGTATTTTTGGCAGAGACAGGGTTTTGCCATGTTGGCCAGGCTGCTCTCGAACTTCTGACCTCTGATGATCCGCCCGCCTTGGCCTCCCAAAGTGCTGGGATTACACACGTGAGCCACCATGCCCAGCTTGCTCATTCATTATTCAGCAAATATTTACTGAAAGCTGCCTACATGCAGGACTATATGAACACCAGAGATACAGCAGTGAGCAAAACAGACATGCTCCCAACCTTCTGGAGCTTACAGTCTAGTGGGGGAGATACACCAGACAAATTATGACACAAACTGTTAAATCACGGTTGTGCTCCAAAGAGGTCAAACAGCAAGCTGTGAGCACCATATATTAAAGGGCTGTAACCACAACTGGTGGTGTAGGAAAGACTTCCCTCAAGAAGAGAAAATTAAGCTTAGAATTTGCGTAAGACTTGGGAAGGCAAAAAGCTGTAGGATGGAGAACATCCTGGGCACCTGGAAAAGCATAGGTAAAATCCCTCTGGCTGGAGGGTGGTGAGTCAGGAGAAGGAAGTAGCACACAATGAGGCTAATGGGACAGGCGGGGCCAGACTGTGCAAGGGATAGGAGGCATGTTGGGGATTCTGGGCTTTATTTTCAGCTGCTGCCAGATTTCCAGCAAGGAGTGCTGTGATTAGGTTTGGGCTGTGTGGAGAATAGCCTGAGAAATACACAGAGGGGAGGCCCAGTTTTTCCTGTGGGAGCCTTGGGAGGTGAGAAAAGAGTGGTTGGTCATTTCCAACTCTAAGCCCTGGTATTACTTTCATACTACCCCAATAGTGTTCTATCTGTCTGTCTGTCTATCTATCTATCTATCTACCTACCTACCTACCTACCTATTTATGAGACTAAGTCTCACTCTTGTCGCCCAGGCTGGAGTGCAATGGCGTGATCTCGGCTCACTGCAACCTCTGCCTCCTGGGTTCAAGCAATTCTCCTGCCTCGGCCTCCCGAGTAAGCTGGAATTACAGGCGTGCACGCCCAGCTAAACCAGCTAATTATTGTATTTTTAGTAGAGATGGGGTTTCACCATGTTACCTGGGCTGATCTCGAACTCCTGACCTCAGGCCTCCCAAAGTGCTGGGATTACAGGCGTGAGCCACCGCACCCAGCCCCGAGTAGTGTTCTAATTTGTGGTCCTGTTCCCATTCCCATTCTCAGGAACCTCTCCTCCTGCTACACTAACAGGAATAAGACCAGGAAAAGAAAGAGCTGGGGGGTGGAGAACAACAACAGTTTTTTCTTCTGTATATTCTCTGTCCCTTTCCACTCACATTCATCTCCTCTCACCTCCATAGATTCCCTCTTCCTCAAGCACCATCTCACATGCATAAAACTGAAAGAGAAAAGGAAATTGATTAGTAACCACCTTCTTCTCTGTTCTATTTCTCTGCAGTTCCTCTGTGGTCACTGATGAGGACAATAATTACTGAAACCAGTGAAAGAAAAGGGAACCCAGACTCTTAGATCTAGAAAGGACCATTAGAATCATCCAGCCCAGCACTTCATTTCTTTCTCATCCATTTAATTTATGTTTGAGTAAATTGTTTCTTATCTCCCTGAGAGAATGGAAGAACTTTACAAAGGAGAAGGAATTCAGCTGTCTTCGAAAGGTAAGTTGTACAGGCAGAGATGAGAGCAACGGCATGAAGTGCTCTGGAAATTGTGGAGGAGCAGATGGGAGAAAACGATCTGTACAAGGGAGAGTAAGTTCTGTTTAGGACATGCCCACGGGACCTCTGGAGACACAGACAAGGACTTGGGATTAAGTAGCATATACTCTGTATTTAAAGTGGATGATGTGGCTGGGTGCAGTGGCTCACTCCTATAATCCCATAACTTCGGAAGGCCGAGGCAGGTGAATCGCTTGAGTCCAGAAGTTCTAGACCAGCTTGGGCAACAAGGTAGACACCCCGTCTCTACCAAACAATGAAAAATTAGCCGGGCATGGTGGTGCGTGCCTGTAGTCCCAGCTACTCAGCAGGCTGAGGTGGGAGGATCATTTGAGCCCAAGAGGTCAAGGCTGCAGTGAGCCAAGATTGCGCCACTGCACTCCAGCCTGGGCAACAGAGTGAGACCCTATCTCAAATAAATAAATAAAAAAGTAGATGGTCTGTCCAAGAGAAAAGAACACACAGAGGAGAGCTAAGGACAGGACCCTAGGGAACACCAAGATGAAAGGGGGCCAGAGTACAGGACCTGGCAGAGAAGACTGAGAAAGAATACTCAGAGGGGTAGGGGCAGGAGAAAACAGCAATAGTCAAGGCAGAAAAGGTCAGAGTTGCAAGGAAGGGTGGGCAACAGTGTCAAACACCAGGGAAGTTAAGTAGGATTAACATTAAATAGACACCAGTGGATCTGACAACAGAGACCTGAGGGAGACTCGATGAAACGATGAAGGTAGAGATGAGGAAGCAGAAGCAGTGACAGTAGAAGAGTCTTCACAGAAGCCTGGCCATGAAAGAAGGGGGAGTCCTGAGAAGAGATGAAATGGGGGACATTGTTTAGAAGGGATAGACATGGGTGAAGACCAGAAGAGAAAGTCTATCTGGTAAAGCAAGATAATGGAGAAGGAAAGCAGAAACGGGGTCAAGAACTGGCATGGAACAGCTCATCTTCGAAGGGAAAAGGTTACGATCTCTTCCTCCTTTGAGGTAAGTGGGGAAAGGGTGAATATTTGAAAGTAATAAGAAAGAATGCTGAGGGCACTCACATCTGATAATGAGATGACATTATTAACAGCTAATGTTGTAAGCCCTTAAAATAGATTAGGCATTATTCTTCGTGTTTTACAAGAATCACTTGTCTTCATCTTCATACTAGCTCTGTGAGATGTAGATCAATGCTACGTGCTCCTTGTTTTACTGTTATGCAGAAGAATTCTATTCCTCCCTCACTCATTTCTGCCAGGAAAACTGAAATCTACAGGCCTGCTTTTAACTTTTAGTGCTAAGTAATGGAATTCCAGAGCCAGGTCTGAAAACTGCCAATCTTCATAATTAACAAAGGAGTCTCAAAGAAGAGAGAGAGATGCCTCCTAATATAAAATTAGGTCAAATAATTTGATTAGATAAGGTGTTAAGTGGAGAACACTCATTAAAATACCAATTTTGTTTTTCTGTGTAATATAGAGACTTGTAGGATTATTTTAACTTGTAGGATTATTCCCTGTTAATACAAATGTGTCCTTGGCCAGGCGCAGTGGCTCATGCCTGTAATCCTAGCACTTTGGGAGGCAGAGGTGGGTGGATTGCCTGAGCTCAGGAGTTCGAGACCAGCCTGGGCAATATGGCAAAACCGCACCTCCATTAAAAATACAAAAAATTAGCCAGGCATGGTGGTGCACACTTGTAGTCCCAGCTACTCGGGAGGCTGAGGCAGGAGAATTGCTTGAACCTGGGAGGCGGAGGTTGCAGTAAGCCAAGACTGCGGCACTGCACTCCAGCCTGGGTGACAAAGCAAGACACTGTCTCCAAAAACAAAACAAAACAAAACACCAAATCTGTCCTTGGAAGCATAATTTGAAAAAAAAAGAAATGGTTTTGTAAGGGTCCAAGAACTAGAAATTATTGCTATGACTCTTTTAATAGCATTCAAAAGTACCTATAATTCTGAGTGGTTGTCCTACTCAATAATTTCTTGCCCTGGTAATAATACTTCACATGTTTGTATTCCTAAGCATATTATCGTAAGATAAATATTTGTAAGATTGTGCTATCAATCTTCAGGTGAGATTCAAAGGAAGGTCACTGGTTCTTTCCTCTTATTCCTTTTATAGAAGGAGAAAACAATATAAGCCTAGGGTCCCACTTGATTTCTTATTTCGACAGAGACTCAAAGTCATCTCACTTAAATTAAGAGATAGGTACTATTATCAACTCTATCTTCCAGATGAGAAAACCGAGATATGGAACAGCTTAGTACCTAACCCAAGACCACACAGGTAATAAGGCCTCAAGGGTGGATTTTATCCAGACAGCCTGGTTTCAGAGGCTTCAGTCCTTAGTTACTGCTTCTATTTTCTCTAGAATTTTCTTAGAAAGATCGAAAAGTAATAAATTCTGTTCTTCCTAGTCTAGTTTCTACCTTCTCTAAGTATGCATGCACTACTTGCTGTAGCTTTATAGGCCTATGGTTGGCAAGGTAAAGGCCTGGAACGTCATTCCTCCCAATCACTGGGATTGAGGATGAATGTAGCTGATGCACAGGCGAGAGGGGAGCTCAATGGAATCAAGAAATGGATAGACTATGATGGACCTCCAAATATGTACTGCAATTATTGAGTTAAAGATGGAAGAGCTCTAGCCTGGCTATGCTAACTCACTGTGTGAGCATGGGCTTCAGTTCCCTCAGCTGCTCAAAGTTGGGGTGGAGTAAAACAGTCTCTAAGGCTCCTTTCCTGTGCAAGAAAAGGCTTTTCCAATACATGGTGGCATGGTTCTAGTAACCTAGGGGCAGCCCAGTCACATCCCCATAAGCATAGGGGATGGGAGGAGGGGGGTGATGATTTATCTAATTTATTATTAAAGAGGGATACAGGGAGAAAGTCATTGAAAGCCGTAACATTGTGCACCATTACTATACTAGAGTTTGTGTTAGGGATACAAAGCAGGTTCTACCTCACAAGTGTGAAGCTTTTCATTTAAAAAAATCTACGTAGAGGCCTCCTCACACAATTCCACAACACTTTATTTGGGACAGTATGCTGGCAGACCCTCTGCTAAACAATTGAAGATATGTAAATGAAAAGACAGTGACAGGTATTTTGTTCAATCATACATAATTTGCTTTGAGAGAGTGCAACGGAAACTGAATCCCCAGGACAACAGTGTGGGGAGGTGCAGCCTAATAACAGGTGATTGGGTCGTAAGGGAGGAGTCCTCATGAATGGATTAATGTCCTTATGGCAGGAGGGGCTTGCTATAAGGCAAGTCCAGCCCCTGGGTGCCTCTTGGTCTCATGTGCTGGCTTCTACCTTCCACCCTTCTGCCATGGGATGACCCTCGCCAGATGCCAGCCTCACACTCTTGGATTTCACTACCTCCTCAGACCATGAGCTGAATAAATTTCTGTTCATTATAAATTACCTAGTCTCAGGCATTCTGTTACAGCAACAGAAAACGAACTGAGACAGGGAGGTAGTGCTGTTGGCCCCTTACCCCTGCCTGGTCCTCAGTCCTGTTCTACCTTATCCCACTTCCTCCAGGATCCAAACTCACCTTTTGAGGGCTGAAGATCACTTTGTATTTGCGAGTTCTGCCAGCCAATTTGTCAGCATTGACAAGACCTACAGAGAGAAGGAATGCAGCCCAGCAAGCCATGAGCCATCTGCACGAAGCAGTTACACTAGAAGCAGGGAAGCTTCTGGGCACGGTGGCTCACGTCTGTAATCCCAGCACTTTGAGAGGCTGAGGCGGGTGGATCACCTGAGGTCAGGAGTTTGCGACCAGCCTGGCCAACATGGTGAAACCCCGTCTCCACTAAAAATATAAAAAATTAGCCCAGTCTGGTGGTGGGCACCTGTAGTCACAGCTACTCAGGAGGCTGAGGCAGGAGAATCGCTTGAACCCGGGAGGTGGAGGTTGCGGTGAGCCCAGATCATGCCATTGTGCTCTAGACTGGGCAACAAGAGTGAAACTCAAACTGCGTTCTCAAAAAAAAAAAAAAAGAAAATGACAAACAACAAAAAAGGAGCAGGAGCAGATATCCTTCACAATGCTATAGCCAACTCAAACAATTATTTTCTTATTAGAGGGTCCTTATGGCCAAGGCCCTTAGATCTTGCCGCCCGTTCCCCACAGTCTAACATAGTACCATGGCACACTCACTGGCAAGTGTATCGCATATTCTTGATGCGGGGGTCTGACAAGAAGCACAATCTATGAGAGAGAAAGAAAAAAACAGTGGAAGGAAAAATTATCAAGTGGGATAGCAACTTAGAAGAAACTGTGAATAATACCAACTTTTTTTGCCATTTGCCCTACAGGGTCTCATCCTAGCCAAAAGTTATGCCATTCTCTTGGTCCACCATACACCAACCACAGAAGATACTCTCAACACAATGGGTAGTAGAATGTGATGAGCTGGGTACATTACTGGCCCTATAGTGGACCCAAAAATTGCTGTTCTCAAATAAATTTACAATCCAGTGGGCAAAAACAGTGCATATATGGGAGTATGTTAACAGTCAGTGGCGACGAAAAAACAATACAAGAATACCCCATAAAAATATACACATTGATTATTTTGTCAGTTAAAAATAAAGGCTGGGCATTGTGGCTCACACCTGTAAATCCTACACTCTGGGAGGCCAAGGTGGGCAGATTGCTTGAGCTCAGGAGTTCGAAACTAGGCCTCGGGAACACAGTGAGACCTCAGTCTCTATTAAAAATAATAATAGTTAGGCTGGGGGCAGTGGCTCACACATATAATCCAGCACTCTGGGAGGGCAGAGCGGCTGGCCGAGAAGTGGGATTGACCTGGACGTCAGGACGTTTTGAGACCAGCC